TGTGTTTTCTTTCTTTCTTTCTTTCTTTCTTTCTTTCTTTCTTTCTTTCTTTCTTTCTTTCTTTCTTTCTTCTCTCTCTCTCTTTCCTTCCTTTTGTTTCTGTCCCTTTTTCCTTTTTTTCTTTCATCTCTCTCTCACTTTTCTTTCTTTTTTTCTTTCTTTATTTATTTCTTCCTTTCTTTCTCTTTCTCTGTTTGAGTCTGTGTGTGTGTATATGTGTATGCGTGTGTGTGTGTGTGTGAGTGGTGGGTTTCAAAAATTTTTGGAAGCTCTTCTGTAGGTGTGGCCTGCTTTCTGGGTCCACTGGTGGAACCTCTTGTAACCGTTTCGGTAGATTTGACGAACCGGTTCTACAAATAGGTGCGAGCTGGTAGGAACCCACCTCTGGTACCCAACCCTCCTGAGAAAAAGAAATCCCTTTTTTCAAAAATACTCTTTTCCTTCTTTTGGATGAAGCTGAAAGGCGGAGAGGGGAAACTAATCAAGGAGAGAAGCAACGTGGAAGGGAGGAGGAGGAGGGATTTCCTGGCAGGGAGGACAATTCACCCGTGGAAGGGAGGCTTTTGAACAAGAGGCCGGGCCATCCTTTGTCCAGAGGTGGGTTCCAACTGCTTCGGATCGGATTTAACCCCGCCGGACACGGGACCGTAACCGGTTCTATCCTTTATTTTCTGTTCTGCACATGCGCAGAACAATCTTCATTGAAAAAAAATGTAATTTCCCCCCCTTTTTTAATGGTCAAACGGTCAAAACTTTCCGCCACTGTTTCAGTGGGCATGGCTTGGGGGGGTCATGTGACTGAGTGTGCGTGAGTGACAGTTGGCCACGCCCCCTCAGTCACATGCCCCCATCTAGCCACGCCCACCGAACTGGTCGTAAAAAAAAAAAATTGAAACCCACCTCCGGTATCCGGCCTCCTGCCTTGAGCTGGGGGTTGGACTAGAAGGCCTCTGAAGTCCCTTCCAGCCCTGCCGTTCTGAGATGAGGCTGGGCCGGCCTCCCTGCCTCCCTGCAACCCCTCCAAAGTCCGAGGGCCAAACCCGGAGGGCTCACCGGGGGTCCGCTGGTGGGAATACGGTGCTGCTGGCTCCTGGACGGAGGGGGCAGGTCTGCTGGCGGCCGGCTGGGGCTTCTTGGCAATGGGCATGGGCTGGGGAAGGGTCTGCTTGGGCAGACCCTTGAAGAACCAGGCCCCGGAGCGCTTCCATACCTGGAGAGTGGAGAGCGGAGGAGAATGAGGGGGTCCGTGGGGCGCGAAAGAGGGGTCTAGTCAATGGGACGGGAGGGGGACAATCGTGCTAAGAGCCACTCCTGGGGCTCAAAGGACTTTGAGCCCTCTGGATCCCCCTCCCATGCTGGCCTTCCAGTGGCCCTTGCAGGAAAGCATCAGAAATACCTCTCTCTCTCTCTCTCTCTCTCTCTCTCTCGTGGTGAATGGATCTCGTCTTTTTATGCACACTGAGAGCTTATGCCCCATGGACAAGTTCCTTGTGTCTCCAATCACTCTTGGCCAATTAAGAATTCTCTTCTCTTCTTTTATTCTACATTTCTATTCTATTCTATTCTATTCTATTCTACTCTATTCCATTTCTATTCTATTTCCTATTCTATTCTATTCTCCTTCCTTCTTTCCCTATTCTATTCTATTCTTTTATTCTATATTTCCATTCTATATTTCTATTCTATTCTACTCTCTTCTGTTCTATTCTATTTTTTATTCTATATTTCTATTCTATTCCTATTCTATTCTCCTTCCTTCTTTCTCTATTCTATTCTATTTTTTATTCTATATTTCCATTCTATATTCTATTCTACTCTGTTCTATTCTATTCTTTTATTCTATATTTCTATTCTATGCTATTCCTATTCTATTCTTCTTCCTTCTTTCTCTATTCTATTCTACTTTTTATTCTATATTTCCATTCTATTCTATTCTGTTCTATTCTTTTATTCTATATTTCTATTCTATTTCTATTCCTATTCCTATGCTATTCTCCTTCCTTCTTTCCTTGTCCCATCCTATCCTATTCTCAGAGCCGAACACTCTGCAGGGGTCCTACCATGAACCCTGAAAGAGGAACTTTCCCCTCCTCCAGGCCTCCTTCAGCTTGAAAAGGGGGCCCAGCTGCAGGAAGGACCCAGCAGCCCCCACCCCCACAGCTCCTCTCTCGCTTTGCAGCCCAAAGGACGCAGATCCCCAGCGTTTCCCCAAAGGCCTGGGGACAGAGGGGCGAGAGGCCTCTGCCAGAGCCCACCTCTCTCTGCTCGGTGCAGATCTTGCACAGCCAGACGGAGTGAGGCCGGTTGTTGGTGGTCTGAATGCCGCATTTGGTGCAAACGTTCTGCAAGGGAGAGAAAGACGTGAGGGTGGAACCTGTCCCGGGGGGCAGCGGAGAGGGGCCCCGGGTTCAAAAGTTGCCAGTTTCCAGAGCAATGTTTCCTTAGTCACGTCTGCAGCCAAGATGCCACCCGCCTGGCTTCGGGGAGAGACCCGCCTCCCATTCAGTTCACTTAATTAACAGACTTAATTAATTAAGAAGATTAATTTTTTTT